GGGAGCAGTTGGGGGTTCGGTGCCTTGCTCAAGGTCACCTCAGTCGTGGTATTGAAGGTGGGAGAGAGTGCTGTACATTCACTCCCCCCACCTACAATCCCTGCCAGTACGAGACTCAAACCCACAACCTTTGGGTTATGAGTCCAACTCTCTAACCATTAGGCCACGACTTCCCATTAAAAAAAATAATAAAAAAAAAAAAATTGTAAAATAACAGCAATCAAACGCTTATTATAAAAGTTGGAATATTTAATTTGTATACCTACACGTCATGTGACCATTAACCAACTTCAGAGAACTGTGAACATGCAAATGTTCATAAACCCAGTGGGCAAAATTATAGTCACCCTACGACTTGTCCACAAAATTGGAAGATTTTCTGAATGTTTATAGGCAATTTTAGAAAGAAAAATGTAAAAGATGAAAACGAAAAATTATAGAGAACCAGTGAATTCTGAATAACTTATTACTACTGTGTTAATAGTATGTAATCAATAAAAAAGTAACTGTAGTCTGATTACAAGTACTTTGCAAGTAATTTTTGGAGTCTGATTACCTAATCCAGATGACATGTAATCAGTTTCTACCCAGCACTGAATATGAACTTAAATGTATAAATGTGTGTATGATGTCTAAAAGCGATAATGAGAACATTTGAATTGCATGCGCCCATGATGAATCTTCAAACCAAACTTTTAAACTTGCACATATGATGCTCAAAAGTGTTGAATTGAATCTATAAATCAAAATTTTAAACTTATACATTTAAACACACATATAGTCAAAAATGCAAAATTGAACTTTTAAATGTACATTCTCTATAATGTCCAGAAATGTTAAATACAAACATGTTTTATTGACAGAAATGTCGAGACTCAATTGAATGCTCTTATGATGAACAGTTTGAATCAAATGTATATGATGCCTAAAAATTCTGAATATGAAAACTTTGGTTGTGTTGTTTAGTGCACTGACCTGAGCTCAAACAACTTGCTGAAAAATAATAATCAAATTAACATAATTTTTTTTGTTTGTTTTACGTTTTATACTTTCGTTTTAAATTTTTATTTTGTTTGACCACTGACCAGGGGAGGTCAATTATGTTAATTATATTATTAATATTAAAGTTATTATTATTGTTTTTAGTATTATATTACATTTTTTAAATATATTATTTTGGTTTTTCTTTTTTTGTTTGTCAATTTTAAATTAACAATATTTTTCTTTTACATTGTTTTGATTGGCCACTGACCAGGGACTGTCAGTTATGTCAATGAATACTCAAAACACAAACTGCCGTCTTACACAACAATAAACCTCAGCAGAGAAACCGTAAAATGTAAAAAAAAAAAACAAGCACTAGTCTACAAACACATATTTTATTAAGTGCCAACATTCATTCAATATATCAGAAAAACAACACGTGGAGAAAATGAATTCGATATTAAGTTACAGTTTATAGCGTTATGAGTTCAAATGCATAATATTTGTACATTTACACAATAAACAAAGCCGTCGTCCTCGCTTCAGAAGACGCCGAGAGCACGGATGATTCAAACAAAGGTAAAAACCACAAAAATAGACATTTCCTCATGGCTCGCCGTAAAAGATACACGCCATAACTGGCGTGTTTTCGGTGTTTTCAAGAATGATTGTCGTGCTGGTTTCTGGAGTCAATGGATTGGAGTGACATGTTCAGACCACCTTTAGTGGAGTTTAGGGTTGAACCTCTCAATTTTGTGTGTGTGTTTGTGCAAAGATGCAAAAATACTGCAGACGTCAGCTGCCTGAGACTCGTGGAATGTGTGTGGAGTGTGTGCGCTCACGCTTATGGGAATGTGCATGCGTCCCTATACGAGTGCGAGTGTGTGTGTGTGTGAGAGAGAGAGAGAGAGAGAGAGAGAGAGAGAGAGAGAAATAGGGAAATCTGAAGCTCCGCTGATGAAGTTGGATGAAGTTCAAACACGCCACACACACAGGAAAGTAAAAGATCAGGGCTAGCTGTGAGCCGTCATAAAACAGTGACATTGTTCCTCTCCTCCTCTCTTCCCTTCTTTGGCTCTGGGGAAGGATGTCGGGGTGGTACGGTTTCTCTTTCTCTCTCTCGGTCTTCATTTGGAGAGTTTGCTGATGACTCTGATGAGCGCGCCGTTCTCGTCCTTCAGCCTCTGGTTGTCGGCTCTCAGATCCCCTAAAACCTGTGCGACAGACACACTCCAGTTCTTTACAGCTGTCAGAGGAGGCATTTAAAGGGACAGTTCACAGTAAAGTATAAATACTGACACCATGTCATTCCAAACCAAGGAAATACAAAAGACGATGTTTTGAAAAATGTTCAAGCAGCTGTTTTCCAAATAATGTAAGAATACAGAAGACGGTGAGCTGTCAAGCTCCAAAACTGTAGTCCATACAATTCATTATATTATCATAATATTATATTATATTATTTTTGTTTTATATTTTAGTTTGATTGGCCACTGACAAGCACTATCAATTATTAATTGTAATTAATCAATCAAATCAATATTAATTACAATTCACAAAATTGATCTTAATATAGTACTTTTGTTTTACAATTAATTTAATTTGACCACTGCCCAAGGACTGTAAATGATGTATTATTAATAAAATTGTATTATTATTACTACTAATAATAATTATTAATAAAAAATTAATAATAATAATAATTATTATTATTAATAACAAAAATAATTCATACTCTTATACATACATTAAAAAAAAATTACTTAATTATTATTGTTTGACATTTTAGTTTGATTGGCCACTGACCAGGGACTGTTAGTTATGTCTATTACATATTAAAAATGGATAAAATTAATATTAACAATAATAATTAATACAATTGATATTAACATATTTTTGTTTTTTTGTCATTTTAATTTTTTCAAACACTTTGTGTGGCTTCAACATGAGCTTTTGCAATTGTGATATTTATATTATATTATTCTATTCTATTCTATTAACAATATATTTTATAATTTTTTTCATATTATTACTTTCTCTTTTTTTTATGACCACTGACCAAGTGCTATAATTTATGTCAAGTGTATATTATTAATAAGTGATCAAATCAATATTATTAATAATAATTAATAAACTTAATATTAATGTGTCATTTTTGCTTTACATTTTATTTTGGCGGCTTGATCTGTTTCAAACTTTTAAGATTTTAGTGAATTTTGATCAAATAGTTTGTAAAATATGTTTTCTTTTCATTTTAACAAGTTTGTGTGCATGTCATCTGTTATCACCGATATCCCAAAAAGAAAGAAAAAAATCGGTTAATTACTTTTCTCATTGATTTCAAACCTACAAAGCTCACATTCTACAGAGGAAAGTCAAACAGGTTTGGAGCAACATGAGGTTGAGTAAATGATGCCAGTATTTACCACTCCTACCCAGGTATGACATGACAAGTTTCCAGTTATTTTTCTGTCCTCAATAAGAGTAAAAATACAGTGCAGTGCTACAAACTCACAGCCAGAACACAGAAGCTGATGATTAATAAACTGAAGCAGAACCAATCAGATTTCACTGTGAGCAAAGCTAGAAATAGAAACCAGGTGACTAAACTCACATTAACATGGCAGAAGTGTGATTAATCATATTTGTCATGCCTGGTTAGTGTGTAAGACAAATGCTTCGTTAAACTGGTTTTACTCGTGTTGGCTGAACTGCTCTCAGGGATAAAGTATTAATATATGCATTCACAACATTTCAGTGGACAGAAATGCTTCAGTAGCCTCTCAGCCAATCAGCATCCAGAACTGAGTGAACGAGAGCCAATCAGAACAAGTCTTCCGTGATCACACGCTCTCACCTTCAACTCCTCTTCCAACTCAGCGGCACGGCTCTCTAACATCTTTTTCTCCTGAAACGCGGAGAAAACGAGCATGTGGAGTGACATCATAAGATTGAAAACATCTATAATATATACAGTAATGCTTTTCATTAGTTCAGCAGAATTGTGTTCTGTAAACTCACCTTCTTTTCCATTTCCAACAGAGCCGTGCAGTCCGTGAATCTCTCCTGCCTCTGTTAAAAACACAAACACAGGAGTCAAATATACTGTTATCTGGTATCACATTGATATTGAAAGAAAAATGTATCAATATTAGTGTATCTACAGTACAGTCATTCAAGTATGAAAATATGAACACCGCAAGCACTCGTCGGAAATGTAACGTCCCTTACCATAATCGCAAGCGTTAGCTTTCAAAATAAATGTAAAGACAGAACCCGCGCGCACACACACACACACACTTACTTAAGCTAATAACAAAGTCCAAATGTAAACTAAAACAACCTAAATACACACACACTCGAATAGCTTTTCTTTATACAACTATATATATATATGTGTGTGTATAGACACATTACACAGACACAATACTTTATATATTACATATTTCAAAAAGTGAGTTTTTTCCTAAAATGTGTCTATATCATAGTTTAAAAGTATACAATTTTGATAAATTTTTATTTCAGTTTTACTTTGTTATTTTAGTACATCATATTAAACTAAATGTAAATGAGAAATGTAGAAAAAATTCAATAAGCTTAAGTGTGTTATAATATTTTATTTTAGTTGAAGTTTATTTTATTTCTAGTAACGAAAATGTAAAAAATTTTTTTTTAATGATTTTGGTAGTTTTAATTATTATAATAACCCTGAGATATAAATATACACATGAATGTGTATTTATTTACATTTTCGTTTCTAGAAATATAATAAGCTTCAACTAAAATGATTAAATTCTTTAACTTAAGTTGTATTATATATAATATAATACTAATATTAAATATATAGTAATAGTATATAAAATAGTACCAAAAGCAGCACTGAAATGTCTAGCGACTTCACTTATATTTTTATTTTTATCAGTTTTATTTTACATTTGATTACCTTTGATTACTGTTAGTATCAAATATTAAAGTAAGCATTGAGAAATTAGATACCTTTAAAAAATGTATTTTATGAATTCTTTGACTTTCTGCTTAAAAAAAATAAACAAATGGATGTAAGGATATGCTTTTATATGCTTGATCAAAAGTAATAATTTTCCTACAAGAAAAAAAGAAAGTATATCATATCATAGTAATCCGACACACGTGTGTGTGTGTGTGTGTGTGTGTGTGTGTGTGTGCGTGAGAGTGTGTGCGTGTGTGTGTGTGTGAGAGTGTGCGTGTGTGTGCGCGCGTGTGTGTGTGAGAGAGAGACAGCGTCACATCAAAGTGGAGTCAGCTGTCTTAAGTGTGTGTGCGTGCGTGTGTGTGTGTGTGCGTGTGTGTGTGTGAGAGTGCATGTGTGTGTGTGTGAGAGTGTGTGTGTGTGTGAGTGTGAGAGAGTGTGAGAGTGTGTGTGTATGTGTGTGTATGTGTGTGTGTGTGTGCGTGCGTGCGTGTGTGAGAGAGTGTGCGTGTGTGTGAGAGAGAGTGTGAGAGTGTGTGTGTGTGTGTGTGTGTGTGCGTGTGCACCTGTGTGGCCTTTTCCAGCTCCACCCGGGTCAGTGAAATGGTTCTCTGTGTGTCTGATAACTGTGACTGCAGACGGCGGTTCTCCCTGGACATCTCCTCGAACAACTGAAACACACACGGATACAGACATAAAACACACACACACACACACACACCTCCCCTGCCAACACAATCAGCCAAACCACAAACCCCTGCTGACCTTCTTAAAGTCCCTGGACTCTGATCCCCTCGTGAGAATACAGTCATTCAAGACCGAATCAGACCTGAGAGGAAGGAAAAACCGAGAGAGAATGAGAAGGACTCAGACGTCGCCAAACTACGTGAAAGGTCAAAGGTCAGACTTGTACCTGCTGCTCGTGTATCTGTCTGTCTGCATGAGGAAAACAAAATATTTCACGTCAGCAAGAAACCATAAACACATGCAAAAACTTAACAAATTACACTAATCAGACTAAATTATATGCAAATAATTAAAAACATTAAGACACATTTTGACATTAAAAATATCTATTTTTTTAAATGTATTGTATTATATACATAATTATCACATATAATTTAATATATAAAATAATAATATATATTTTAATACATTTACAATTCTTATAAAGTAATATTGAAATATTACATAAATATATCATATTATATTGCTATTGTAATATGTGCTATTACGGTCAATCAGTAAAAAAAAAAGATATATGTATGTATGGATGTGGGATCAGTAAGATTTTTTATGTTTTGTAATGGAGTCTCTTCTGCTCACCAAGGCTGTTAATAAAAAAATGTAATATTGTGAGATATTATTTCAATTTCTTATATTGGTTTTATGTTTTAATATATTTTAAAATGTAATTTATTCCTGTGAATCAAAGCTGAATTTTCAGTATCATTCCTCCAGTCTTCAGTGTCACATGATCCTTCAGAAATCATTCTAATATGCTGATTTCTTATCAGGTTTTTTGGAAACTGTGATACTTTTTTCTGGATTCTTATATGAATAAAAAGTTAAAAAGAACAGCATTTATGTAAAACTCCAAACTTTTGAATGATAGTGTATATTGTAACACAAGATTTCCATTTTGAATAAATGCTGTTTTTTTATTTTACTTTATATTCATAAACGAATCCTGAGAAAAGTATCACAGGTTCCAAAAAACATGAAGCAGCACAACAGTTTCCAGCACTGATAATAAATCAGTATATCAGAATGATTTCTGAAGGATCACGTGACACTGAAGACTGGAATGATGATGCTGAAAATTCAGCTTTGATTCACAGGAATAAATTATATTTTAAAGTATATTAAAATAGAAACTGTTATTTTAAATTGCAATAATATTTCACAAAATAACGTTTTTTTTCTGTATTTTTGATCAAATAAATACAGCCTTGATGAGCACAAGAAACTTAGGTAAAAAATATTACAAATCTTACTAATCCCAAACTTTTGAACGGCAGTGTATATATATATATATATATATATATATATATATATACATATATGTGTGTGTGTAAATAATATTACATAATTAAAATAATAATTTATATTTCTTCTTCTTATTAAAGGGGTCATATGATGCTTTTTTTAACTTTATAACGGCAGTGTATATATATATATATATATATATATATATATATATATACATATATGTGTGTGTGTAAATAATATTACATAATTAAAATAATAATTTATATTTCTTCTTCTTATTAAAGGGGTCATATGATGCTTTTTTTAAAGCTCATTATTTTGTATATTTGGTGTAACAGAATATGTTGACATGCTTTAAATATGTGGGGGCGTGTTAGAACGAGCCGTTTTAGGGGGGCGTGGCAGAGTCTTAACTTTGATAAAGAATATCTCTTTGGTTTTGAGACTTTAGTCTTTGCAACTTCAGGGATCTTATCTATTCACGAACAGCTTGTAACACTCCAAAGAGAAAGGAAAACTTGAAATCGCATCATATGACCCCTTTAATACATTTAATAATAATGAAAATAATAATTGTATAATTGCATTAAATATCTAATGTATATACATTAGTAAACATTTACATTTAAAATAAATAGTTAAAATGTTAACGTAATGTAAATATATATATATTCCCTCTCATAAAGTCCTATCACTGTCAATCAATTAAAAAGTGCATGCTGATTGGTCAGACCTGTGGGTCCCGCCCACTGCTACTCTCCTCCTCTCCACTGGGGTCGTTGTCATCGCTCTGAAAACACAAAAGTAAATGTTTAAATGCAGGCTGTATTTCTGAGCTCCTGCTTCAATCACGAGTCCTCGTCTTCCTCACCTCTCCTGTTTTCCCTCTCCTCCGAGCTCTGGCTCTCCTGCGCTCCCTCGCTCGCTCCTCGCTGTCTGCATCTGACACACAACGCAGAAACAGTATTACAGACAATGACACGACTAAACACATCAGTGCAGTATCATGACTTCCAGTGATAAGGGTCAAAGGTGAAAGGTCACCCTGTCTGTCAGGACGTGGAGCACCAGGAGGGTGTGTGAGTCCCAGCAAATCTGACTTCTGCAGGTTAGCAATACGAGACCGCCAGCTCACTTCCTGCGCAAAAATAAATAAATAGATTACTATTCATTTAACATATGTAAATAATAATGATTAATAATATATAATGTATATTGCATGTATAAATGTTGATATATAAATATACATAAATTATGTATTTTGCAAATAAGTAAACATTATTAATTATATATACAGTGGTGTGAAAAAGTGTTGGCCCCCTTCCTGATTTCTTATTTTTTT